TGTTTGAGAGAGGGCATAGAGGACCTACAATAATGTACAGTATTTGAAAAATAATGTGTTTTTTGAACATTAAAGCATGTCAACATATTCTGTTACACCAAATACACAAAATAATGATCATGACCCCTTTAATATTTAAAAAACACTAATAAAACGTAAACTAAAACTAAAATAAAAAAACAATGAAAAGTAAAATAAACAAAAAATAATAAATAAATAAATAAATAAATAATAATATTTAAAGAAACTAATAAAACAGATTAAAAATTTGTACAAATTAAAATGAAATTAAAATGAAAACTATAAAAAATAAAAGCTATTACAAAATATTAATAGAATTACTGTAAGTATATAAATATTACAAAATATTCCATAAATAACACTAAAATTAGTGTTAATTAGACTTAATTAGGTTAAAGTTGAAGCACAAAAGTTAGAAAACTAAAATAAAATAAATTAAACCAAAACTTAATATTTAAAAAACACTAATAAAACGTAAACTAAACTTAAAATAAAAACTATATAATTAAAATCTATTACAATACAACATGGTGTGTTTACTTGGTCAATAAAAACATAGAAAGCAAAAATTTAAAGAAAAGAAACGGCACAGAGGGGATCTTATGAATTTTAAATGTTTTTTATTTTGTTTGTTTTTTAAATTCATTTAATTTAGTTAATTTCTTGATTGATACACAATGATTAGAAAAATTATTGGAATACATCAGTGATCACTGTGACCAATCCCTAGTTAAAATAAATACAAACTCACCATTGACCCATAATCAACCACTAGAGTGCGCAAAGCCCATGGGAAACCAAGACCAAGCAGAATGTCAAAGATGTTGCTGCCAATCGAGTTGGACACCGCCATGTCTCCCATACCTGCATCACCAGACACATTCATTCAACTCAAGTTTGCAAACACACTGATCTTTTAAATCTATATGTGTTCAGGGAAAGGAAGAGTAGGGTGATCTTAGCACCTTGACGGGCAACTATGAGACTAGCCATGCAGTCTGGGACACTGGTGCCTGCTGCTAGAAACGTAATACCCATGACAACATCTGGAATGTCCAGTGTAAAACTGATAATGGTGACCTGCAACAAAGATAATGTGTGTTAACAGCCCATCATATCATATACCGAGACATTCCCACATGACAATGAAGCACTGATCTCACCATCCACACCATGAGGTAGGAGAACACGGCAATCCAGAGTGTTGAGGCCACAAAGGTAACCATGCACCAGCGCTCCCAGCGAGGCAAAACACAGTTTGGGACAGAGTAGTACAGAAGGCAGCCTAAGGGCCATGACAACACCCACACAAAGGTAACCATGAACCAGCGCTCCCAGCGAGGCAAAACACAGTTTGGGACAGAGTAGTACAGAAGGCAGCCTAAGGGCCATGACAACACCCACCTGACTTGCTCCCAGCGCCCCTCTGTGGATAAAAGTACTTAATTAAATCGTTACCTCACTTCATACTAGGCTCCTTAACACCACCTACAGGACAAAAACAGATTTCACATATATGTAAAAAGATACAAAAGCTTTCACTAGGGCGGTACCCTTTCAAAAAGGTATTAATAATGTACTATTTATGTACTAATATGTACACTTAAGGAACTGATATGTACATTTAAGGTAAAGTGTATTGCCACAGGGACAGCTTTTGTACCTTTTTTATGTGAGTATACATACAAAATATCACCAACAGGACAAAGACAGGCGAATGATACTTGCATTCAGTATTCATGATCTCTCTCTCTTTTTTTTTTGGCTTTTGTTATTCAAATGTTTCAAAGGTTTTCCTTTTGAGCTCTTCAAATTGCAATTTTCACTCTTAATGTCATCTTCAGTAAGATTTTCAATTGTTCAGCAGTGATGAAGTTAATTTGATTGCAAGCCGCATCAGCCCCGAGAGGTTTGAGAGCTCTCATCTCTTTTCTATAATCATAACACTAGTGCATGAATCTAAAATGCATGCCCCCATTATCTAGAAATGGCTCTCAGGCTAATGGATTATGGTCCTTAAGGGGCCAAAAATGAGGGCCATTCTTCTAATCAGTATATGGAAAAAAAATTGGAGACTGATGAACCACAAAAAAACTCAACGTGTTGTCCTGTTATTTTGAATAATGGTTTAATATCATGTTTTGGAACCATTTATAAACATATCCACAAGGGGTGGGAGACTTTATGCCCCTTATGATACAATTTGTTTTTGAATCAGAGAGTCCTAATCAAATTCTAAATTGATTCTGGATGAATCTAATTTTTCAGCAACAGCACAGAGGGGCGCCAAGATTCCACATGTGTACACACGCACACACACGGTTTTGCACATACGATTATTGGAGTGAAAATACTATTGTAGTTTTTCTACTTCAAAGTTTTACATTAAATTCTGTGTGCTATTTGGTGTTTCTAAGCAATTCATTGTGACATTTATTAAAAAATTCTGAGTGAAAATTATTTCTACACTAATAACACTAACTCCTGTACACCACCGCAATCGTCTTTACCTTGATTGCAGTCTTCATCTATCAAAACTTTACTAGCGAGACTGGTTATCCAGTCGAGAAAACGTAATTTGCGTCTCATCTGGCCATACAGCGGTGGGATGTGTTGACAATCAGTTCAGTCTGTATTTGAAATCTGTACTTCACACAGTGCGTGACATGTGAGGGCTCACGCTCTTCAGAGACAATCACAGAATATGACAGAGCTCGTGTTTTAAAGCCAAACACACTGGACTTAATAATTCACTAAAAAACGCAACACGAGTCTCTGTTCTCTCTGCAATCTCTGAGGCAATCAGTCTGGTTTCCTTTTTATTAGCGCTGTTTTGGACGGATTGTTTGAATGCATTCACGTACCGGATCATTGGACTGAAAACTTTCCCGGAGTTTAGCGGCTTAAAATGATCTAATCGCAAGCAGAGAAGCAAAATTTGGTTAAAGGGTTAGAATAGAAATTGTGCTTTAGTAATTTTGCGTTAATTGCGTTAAATTATTTTAACGCGTTAAGGATTGTAAAATTAATCGCATGCGTTAACGCGTTAACGATGACAGCCTTAATATATATGTATAATATTTTTTCAGTGTATACATGCATATTATATATGTATATACATATATAAAAATATTAATTTATTAAAAATATTCATGATTGTATTTAATTTTATTATATTCATGACATTTTTTTTTAAATTATGACTGATCCAAAATTGTTTAATATTCACTCACCTGGCACAGTAAGAGGTCTGAAGGGTTGTTCCTCATCTGCCTCTTCCTCCTCCTCCTCCTCCTCTTCCTCATCATCTTTAGGCTGTGTGTCCCCTATGTCTGCTACTCGTTCTAAATCCCCTCCTTGGCCCCTAGGTTGCCTAGGTTCCTCCAGGGGTTGCGTTTCACTCTCAAGGGCCCCTCCATTCTCCAGACCCCAAGGAACCCCCTCCATGCCTGGACAATCTTGGCCAGGAGTGTCCCCTGCTCCGCTGCCACTGCTGTCTCCAGGGCTCCTGTTTCTAATCAGTCTCTGCCTCTGTTGAAGACAGACAGAATATGTGAGAGATGTGCAGTCAGACACTGCAGAGCTGGAGAAGAGGAGACCCAATGTGAACCCCTTCAAATGAATGAGATTCAGTTAGATGAGAAATGGAAAGGACAGAGTTTCAGAGTCAAGCTTGCTGAACACATGGCAAGACCAAGGTAAAGCACAGTCCATTAGAGTGTCGTAGAGATGACATGCAAGAGCTGCAAGAGTCAAGCCAACAAGCAAGTCATGTGAACGACTGTAGATGGAATAAAGCATTTGCTCAAACAAACAACAGAATGGTTACATAAGGTTAAAGGGGTCTCAACAAAAATGGAAATCAGGAGTAGTGTCTGAGAATACCTACACCTAGGAAGAAATACTATTGCTGACATTTGAGGAGTTAACTTTCAGTTATACAGGAAATGACAGCAGATGATCTAAGGATTGGATCAGTCACAAATCTGTTACCTGTTGCAGAAGTTACAGCTGAAGGGTCGTATTAAAGGACCCATAGAAAAGAGAAATCATAAATTAAATCTCTTTAATAATTCTCCAAGACAGCAATGACATTAAATGAGCTCAAACTGACTGTCTTGCTTCTCACATTTTGTACAAAAATTGTATTTCATATTTCTTACTGAATGTGATCAATTCTCATTTGTGTCCATTTTTATATTTCCTAATTTTAGAAGCACTGATTGTCTTCCTTAATCTATATAAATCATAATTTAAACAAGAAACAAGTTATTTGAAATTAAAATCTGTGTAAGATAATAAGACTTAAAGAGAATGTGTATTGCATTAAGTTTTCCTATCTCAAAGCCAATAATTTCTCATTTTAAGCATAAACCCTTAAGAAACTTTTTTTTCTCTAACTTTTTGATTTATGCTTTAAACAAGAAAAACTATTTGTTAATGGAGAAAGAAAAAATTCAAGATATAACCTACTGTTTATAAATTTGGGGTCAGCTTTTTTTAAAGAAATACTTATACTCAGCAAGGATTCATAAAAGGTTGGATTAATTAAAAGTGACAGTAAAGATACTGTAAAAAAAATCCTGTAAAAAAACGGTCAAATGACTGGCAGCTACGGCTGCCAAACAAAAACCGTAAAATTTAAGTAAATTATCGTAATTGACACAAGGAAAAATCTGTAAAATAACAGTTTTTTTCTGTAAAACCTTTAAGAAAAATTTCTGTAAAATTATTGTTTTTGCACTTTATTTCAATTAAGATATTTTACTGTCATTTTATGTTTTTTGTTTGGCAGCCGTAGCTGCCAATCATTTGACCATTATTTTACGATTTTATTTTCTACAGTGCATTTATAATGTTACAAAATATTTCTATTTAAAATAAATGCTGTTCTTTTGAAATTTACTGAGTAGCACAACTGTTTTCAGCATTGATAATAATAGAAATGTAAGAAAGACAACACCTGAAATGAAGAATAATAAGAAAGAAGAAATGATTTCTGAAGGATCATGTGACACAAGACTAGAGAAAATATGCTGCTGGAAATTCAGCGTTGCCATTACAGGAATAAATTACATTAAAATATATGAAAACAGTTATTTTAAAATGTCATTTTATTTCATAATATTACTGTTTTTACTGTGAGCAAATAAATGCAGCTTTGGTGAACATAAGCGACTACTTTCAAAAAAATGTAAAAAAAAAAAAATCTTATCAACCTCAAACATTTCAACCGTAGTGTATTCTCTTGCTCTATAGTCTTAATATCTTATACATTTTATTTCTAAAATTAATTTTATTTTGTTTTAAGGACACTGAAATATTTTTACTGGAAAACAAGACAATAATAAATTTTTGAGACAAAGTTGATACACTAATAAAGAATATATGGGAACTCTAATAGCTTCCTATAATCCATACTGTACATCAAACTAGCCTGATAGTTTATATTCTAGGTTGAGAAACAGAGATGCTGTTGTGAGATCCAGACGTGCACAAAGCGAGCAAGCATCCAGCCAGTACCTCAGTGATGAGCATGCGTCCGGCCATGCTGAGGCGAGGGCGGGGGGAGAAGTGGGGCGTGATCATGACACGGAGGCTTGCCTCTGAGAAAGAGAACTGGTGAGGGTGTAGACTCATCAACTCATCCACCATCACCACCGGGGAGTCCTGGCCACCCGCATTCTGACCTGAGACCTGAGAGGAGAGAGAGACGTGATACTTTATAATGCACAAGCACTCAGTATGATCCACACAGCTCCACCCTCCACCCACACACACCTTTCTTCAAGAGGATCATGGAGGTGTCACAGTGTGGGCTTGCCTCTCCTACCGACACATCTCTGCACAGACTGCTCATCAAACACGGCTGACCTGGGATGCCAAACCTCTGCTCCACCCAGCCCCAAATCTGACTGTTAAACCTTGAAAGAAGCACACACAAACTCATATTATATCATGTGAAAATTACATTTAAGTATGTTAAAAATAAAGAAATAAATGAATATATACATAAATATTAACATAAATTACATTCCAACTGTTATTGTGTCTAATAAATAAACATGTTAGATACTTACCTCATGATAAGGATGTAAACTCCATACATTGTTATGAGGATTATAGTCTCCCACCTGCAACAGTGATATTATATGCTATAAGTTTGGTTCACTTAAATGTCAATGAGCATTATGACACCTTCTTTATGATTTCAGCACACTTACCAAATTACTTTTTCGTCATATATGATCTGAAATGCACAAAAACAAACACAAAAAATTAATTAAGTGTTCAATTTAATAGAAAATAAAGGTTAAAATTATAAATTTAACATTCAGACACAGTCATGCTCCTGCTTACCAGAATCAAGGCCAACACTGAGAGGATGTAGTAGATAGAGTCACG